TGTGTGTGTATAAAAGAAGGGACACGCGCGAGCGATAATAATAATAATAATATATATAATATACGGAAACGTCGGTCACAATAATTTTTCAGCCGTTTTTCATTTTTTGGCTCACTAGGTATACATTATAGGCACCCTTTTTTTTATACGAACCGCAGAATATATTGCGTTTTAAACTTCTCATTTGGTCACCCGGTATACAATTGTATTGTGATGAGTATATGTATTATATAGGTACGTAATAATAATATCGGATTTGATATGTCGACGGTATACGTAAATCATAAAAATTACAAATAATTGAGTGCCGTTTTAATATATAAATATTGAATATTACCTACCAATAAATATCACATTAAAGTCACCGCGAGTGAAACTTTGTACGTAGGTATAAGGTATACATGGATTGTTGGGTATTTATTAAAGTTTAATTCTTCAGATTTGTCCGGTTTTGGACTCAAACACGCATTACTGTCGAGCTCCGAAAATTTGAACGGCTCTCTGTGAACGAAATTGTTTTTTAAACCCGAGAATCTACATAATGCGAAAAGTTGAAATATTTTGAAATTTAATCCCCACGAAGCGGCTGTTTAAGAACAAATATAAAAGTTGCAGTATTCAGCCTTTATTTTTTTTTTGTTTGGCTTCATTACAGAGCATCTCACTATAGCGTCTCACTGACTCGATTTTATATCGCGCTGGACCCTAAAACTCTACTGTAAATACCCACTAAAAGCGATTACACGGTATATCCTGTAGCAGAAGAATATTATTATTTTGTATTGTCCGTGAATAAGTATAATACCCAAGTCGTCGGTGCGTCCAGAAAACAATATAGTTACAAAAAAGTACCCGAGAGAAAACTGCTGCAACGCTTTTTCCAACTTTATTATGGAAAAAATATCGTTCGCGTTAAAAAGTAGTGGAGAGTAAAATTATTTTTCATACTCGGTTTATAACATAATAATTAGGATTTCAGTTTACCTGGGTGAAAAGTCCGGTGACATCCGATCCTCGAGGGTGTCGTATTTTCTTACGGCATCGAAGGCATAGTATCGCTTTCCGGCTGAGACGTTTACGATGTGGCGTAGGATTTGGTCTATTTTTCCGGTCCGAGTGGGCGAGAAGCGTGGGTGGGGTGGGTGAGCCACGAGGACAACGCGTGTTGTTCCGCCGTAGGACGTGTCTAGACTGAATGTCTGAATCGTCTTCCCTTACGTACAATAATAAATTATTTTTAGATGTATACACATATTATATAGGCCATATAGTTGTACAGCCGTCGAAATCAAGTCGTACCGACTACTATATGAGCAGTCGTTTTCGTCACTCTCGTGGAAAATGCAATTGGAATAAAAAAATGTTTGCACCGCAGATTATCGCCGCCGTCGTAAAAGGCGAAAAATAACTTCATGAAATCTATTTAATAATATACGAATTATTATGTATATCGAACGGGGGAGTTATTTTCAATAGTGGGCATTTTTATTTCATACTCACATTATGCTATTTATATTTTATACATTTTTTTTAAATTCCAATTGTCTCTAGTTATTTAACGAGATACATTATAAGTACTACCTATGTTTTTAAGATTAAGTAGGTATTTGATTAAACAGGCTCTTTATGTAAGACCCAGTAAGGAATATAAAAAAATGTGTGGTCAACTTAACGAGTATGTGCACTGATGAAATATATAAAATAATAACGAGTTAAATTTCTGTATTAACAGTATATAATAATTCGAGTAAAAAAAATGACCAAGTTATAACACTTATAAGGGTTTAATACCTACTGTATTATCAATTTTATAAATATCAGCGATCGCCGCCGATTGTCTCCGAAACTATCTCCATTAAACGTCTTAAAACTGTAGATATGACGTATATTTTGCTTTAATTTTACTATTTAAAAAATAGAATATCCTTGTCGTCATTTATATATAGGTAAAATTAATTAGTTTTGTTCAAAATTTGGTTTTTTTTTTCGTGATATCGAGGACCGGAGAAGGAACCAAGTTTGCCAATACTTCTCTGTATATTAACTATAATAGGTATATAGACTACCTATAGACTATAATTATTATATAGTAGGCATAAGCGCATAACTCGTTTAGTTTATCTAAAATTAATATTAAGATATATAGTATAGTTTACATTTTACAATAGTATACATAGGTACCTACTTTAAATAATTTACTTAAAAATGTATTATTGCACCTATACTATACCTGTGGGCCGTGGTGGGGTGTTAAAAACCACCGAGTCAATATAATTACATAAATACTATTTGTTCAATTAGAAAAAATCCATACAATAAAAAGCATGACAATATGCTTAATAATTTTTAATTGAATATTTTTTGAAAATAATTTTCCATTGTGTAAGTATAATCTATACTCGTTTTCATTTGTATACAAGAAAAAAAACGATCAATTGTCGTTATGTTTAATAATCATTTTTGGGTCTTTATAGTATACCGGCATTATGCTAGCCGGATATGATTGTTAGTTTGCTAGATTGGAAAAATTCGTTTGAATTCCACGCAAAATTGTAAGACGACGCCAATACAGCTGATATTATATTATGTACTCGCAATGGACGCAATGGCCAATTTTCTACACTACATAAACATATTAAATTGAACGGTCGTCATTTAAGCTATATACGTATAACCCATAATATAATACCTGGTAGCAGTTTAAGGTGAATACTGAAAATTCTAAATATATTCAAAAACGTAAACGAAATCGCGCAGTAACTCATACCGGAAGGAAATCCGTTTTTGATATCCGCTAATGCGTGGCTGCTTGTTGTGCACACTTGTTACGTGGGTATAATCTAATAAATATTTAGGTAGGTAGGTAAGGGCTGGCGGTATTTACGGTATACTGCTGCTGCAGGTATCCGGTATACATTAGTCTTTACAGAATACCGATGTACCGTGATTCGCGGTAATTACCGTATTGTTACCGATGTATTACCGTGCGGTAATTACCGAAAATACCATATATCATACGTTTATAATTAATATATTATATAATTATCGTAATATCCGTCGTCTTTTACTGATTTTAGAATTTCGATTAGTATATTTATTACGATTTACGTTTCTACGCGGAATCGTACGTAAAAATTGTTTAAAAAAAATTGTTTTTCCGATGCCCTGTTGCGTAATTATATATTGACGAATTAGTTTTAAAAAATGTTAAATTATAATTATTTTGGCGTATTATTTTTAAATAAAAAAAACATTTTCATCGAACACTCATATTTTATACAACCAATTGTCGGTCGGTATACATTTGTACCTGCTGTGAAAAGGTCATCTACTCCTCTCGCAAACAACCCCAACATAACGGGATTCTTTTTCTTCTTTATTTTTTTTTTTTTATTATTAATTTGGCAAAGAAACCGTTCTTTACGAGGGGTTTTATTCGGTTTGTTTGAACCCTCAAGTATTATTTTTTTATTTTTCATTATTTTTCGCAACGCATTAACCCATTTTTGTGGGATTTCTCTTCGTCGTTTTCCATTAAAAGAAATAAAAAAAAAAGAACACGGGCCTTCAAAAGGAAACACACATGCCTACTCTATAACCAATGCTGATATAACGGCAGATTTTTGTGAAAAAAAAAAAAGAACAGCAAACAAACGAAGAAATTCGAGAATTTCACCATAAGTTACAGGAGGAATAGGTATAGACTGATTCGAGGTAAACACAAATTCAAAACGGTAATATATTTTTTTTTTTTAAAGACTTGAGCACATTTATTCAGACCATAACTCAAAATGCTTTAACACAATAATAATATACCTAAATAATAAGTTTATAAATGGCACAATGACAATCCAATATTATTGACAGTAATATAATAGTATAATTAATAATAATAATAATAATGAGTAAATAAACCTCCCATTTCAATAATTCATTTTTCTAATAGTCGTATGTTATAGAGAAAAAAAAATTGTGTTGAAATATCTTACAACAGTCAAAAGAGAGAATATGGGAAACAAAACAAATACCAACTGGCTATATTATGTTAATAAATAATAAAATAATTACTTAATGAGCGCCAACATTTGTTTCCAATGTTATCCTTCACAAAATTCAGTCTTAATTTTACAATAATTTGTACAACATGTTAATATTATGATAGGTAAACGAATAAATAATATTATATATATATATCATATTAATACATTATAATAATAATATTTTATAATATTGTTACAGGAGTAAAAAAAAAATTTACAAAAAAATAATAAATATAAAAAACAAATATAATATCACATACGCACTTGTACTTTACATACGAATAACGAAATGGGAATGTCATGAAAGTTAAAACAAAAATATTGAGTAATAGTGTATATATATATATATATATATATATAGAATGTATTGATTACATTTATTTTTTTTTTAAATTTTTTAAATTTACGGGTAGCAGACAACTTTTATGTACATACAAATTTTGATGTTCGGACTTAGCAGCCCTTCCTATCCTTTATTATCATAAATAACACAACTAGCACCGACTCGAATTGTTTGCCTATTCGTCATAATTAAGGTTAGGGGGGGGGGACAACTCTGTGGCGCCTATCGATCAAATTTGTAATAAAAAAATGTTATATATAATATGTGTATACACCTATTATCGGTTAAAACTTAAAGTAACTGTACATGTAATTATATATGTATTGCACAATAATTTTGATTAACGTCAAAAAAAAAAACAATTTAATTATTATTTAAAAAAATTTTTGATATTAATGAGAAAAAATTGAGCTTAAGACTATGACGTGTGACTACGTATCCACAAAAAAAAAACAAAAAAAATGTATAATAATTTCAAAATGTAATTTAAACTTTAAACCCGTCAATTTTGGCCAATGGAATCTATGTATTATATAATATAATATGTATGGTTGTCACATTTTATATGATTGTTTTTTTTTCATAAATCTCCTGAAATGTTATTAAGTAATTAAAAGCTATTTACACGTGAGATCCATGGCGACGTCGACGATCATGTCGGATCTAACGGAAAGGTCTTCGGGTTCGGTCTGTTCGGGTGACTCGAACTTGACCGGAAGTTCGTTCCGTTCGGGCGATTTGAACCTCGCGACGAACTGCAGATAATGATACGGCTCAATGGACGGCGGCCCCGTGGGCGGCGACACCGCTGCCGGTGCTTGTTTTTGTTGCGGCACGTTCGCCGCTTGAGGAGGTTGAGGTGGCGGCGAAGACCAGTAGCTCGGCACGGACGGCAGCGGCGACGGGGACGGCGGCGGGGAACCGTGTGTGGCCGGCGTCCACGACGGCGCCGACGTGGACGGTTCGGTCGGGTAGACGGTGGCGCGGCACCGTTTTTTCACGACCCCGCGGGGCTTGTTGTTCTCCTTGTGCTGTCGCTTGTGGTCTTTGAGCTCGGCGGCCGTCTCGAAGAACGCCACGCAGTACTCGCACGGGTAGGTCGTCTCGCCGGTGTGGGTCTTGAGGTGCCGGCGCAAGTTGGCCACCTGCACGAAAAACCTATTGCAGTGCGGACACCAAAACGGCTTCTCGCCGGTGTGCAGCCTGACGTGGGTCTTGAGATGGTGGTCGCGGGTGAAACACTTGTTACACACCGAACACACGAACGGCTTTTCGCCGGTGTGCGTGCGCTCGTGGTTCTGCAGTACGTGCTTGTAGCCGAACTCTTTGCCGCAAACCGTGCACTTGAACGGCCGCGTCTGGCGCGGGCGCGACGACGACGGCGGGTTGGAAGACGACGCGGACGACGCCACGGACGACGTCTCGTCGTCCGCGGGGGCCGCCGGCGCCTGCAGCACCGGCGGCTGATTGTTGTTGCGCTGATCCAGCCATTCGGGGTGTCCTTGGAACACTTGGTGCATGATCTGCATGAGCAAAGCGTCCGAGTCAGGGGTCCCGGACGGGTCTTTCTTCTTCTGCTGGCTGATGGCGTACTGCAGACGGTGGTAAGAGCCAACCAACAGCGCGCGCAATTCTTGTTCGTCTCTGGGCACTTGGTTGATGTTGTACCGTTCAACGATCGAGTTCAACGCGAAGTGCACCCAATAATCGTTTATACTTACTGGAAAAAAAAACAAAAAACAATTATTAACACTGACATTATATATAATTTACGCAATTCGTTGGCACAACGTCCTTTCCTATTTTTATCAATTAATTTGGGTAAACGTGAACGGCAAGGAAATAAAAATACACCTGATCAAAAGCCAAGACTCTAAAAAACATCGATCGTACATTATGAAAGAAATGGTAAAAGAAAAAACTGTAAAATATGATATTACCTATAATATTTCAACAGATATCGGACATGGTGTCATTAATTAAGTAAATAATTGTCCAGTCCATAGTATACTATTTATAGTCGTAGATAATCAGGAACTCAAAAGTTATATAAACACTAATTGTATATATACCTAACGAACTTAATATTTAATATTTTTAATTCAAATAATAGTACCTATAGGTAATTAATTAATATTTACCTAATGCAGTAAAATGCAAATTCACCGTTTTCGTGTTAATTTATATAAAATAAAAAAAATTATAATTTTATATCATCGTGGTAAATAATAGTAGGAAGATGAGTAGTTATTATTTATTTAAATAATATAACATTTTTTTTTAAGTTAATTACGCAATAATTCTTAAACATAATTATTTTTTTAATAACAGTGTACACAATGATTAGGTATTTGATTTAAAAGGCTTGAGATAATTTGAAACAAATTTCTATTAAAGTGTTATTCTTATTTATACATTAATTATTGATACAATCAGTACGTCATATTAATTGTTAGCAATATTATCGTAGACAAAAATGTCAATATTAATATCAACTATAGAGTATTTTGTATAGTATTTGATAGTAGATTACCAATTATTTTATTAATTTAAATCGTTTCTCAATAATTAATTTAATATTGATTAATCAATTTATATGTTTTCAATGCATAACCATTGATTAATGAATAATACATTTTTAATATTGCAGGCCATGTTAATAAATACTATTTTGAAATTCGATAAACCTGGTTTATTTTATCGGACATATTTACATACCTAGGTCAACACAGATTTTATTGAGAAACATAACACATTTAACACTTAATATGCCTACCATTGGTAAAGGTTATTACTCAATAGTCTTTAGAAACCTATTAATTACTATATAAAACACGAGGAATTTTAATTTTTTCTAACCTCGATTCTAACATTGAAGATACTCGGTTTAATTGTATAATTATTTGTGTATTTGTATGAATAACATGATTAACCATAACTACGTTTAATATTATTTACGTAGATAAAAAACCAGTACATTGATGTACGATAAATTAGACCAGAACGTGTCCCCCCAGTGTAACGACATAATTAGTCGGTGTAACTATTTAAAACAAATAACTTTCTAATCCTCGCAATTTGTGGAATAATACGTTATTGTACATATAGTTATCGATATTCATCGTGTAAATACAATTTTTGAACTGAAATAAACAAATTTAATTAGTTTTGTGGTAAAATGCGATATCCAGAGCCGATTCGGTTTGATTCATTAATTTTATGCCAAAGTTTAAGCGTTATTATTACATAATGAGACATGAGATATCATCAGACTGGCGACTGCAATATTATTATTATAAACAGGTATCGAGAGCATCCGATAATATCGTTTTGGGTTTTTAGAAAATATTTTAGTCTGTCGTCGGACGAAATTGAGCAAACCCCTTCTTCGACGGAATATTATTTATATTGTTTTCGGGCACCTTATCAATGGCGTAAACGATACAATATTTATATTATTAGGTGAACCTCGTCGACCTATGGACTATACGAGAGATATTTCGTGGCACTCGTGTGCACAGCTGGTCGCGACGATTTAAACGACGAACGTTTTTAAAGTTTAGCCTTTTCGCTCGTAGCGAAGCGAATTCCGTCGAAATGAAAACATCTTAATAACATTGACGAGTACCTAACGACGGTGCAGTAGAATATTATTGTTGAAACAATATTTACCCTTCATGTCCATTTCGTGTCCCTTCATGTCCATCTCTTCGATTTGCTCGGACTTGTACGGCTCCGAAGAGTCCAGGTTGTTGGTCCCCAATACGTGAGCCATCGGACTTTCACAAGACACCATGTAAACAGTGCGTCGAGAAACGTTCGAAAACTCGACAGTACAATATAATATCGTATATTGTTATTGACGATGTGAATTAATATTATTATTACTATACGACAATAACGGCAATAGTAGCTAACAATAATTATTATTATTACGGTAACAATCTTCAATGACAATATACGATTATATAATATCGCGTGATAAAAATCGCGGTTATCGGGAGAATAACGCACGCCGGTGCGCGGCGAGTCGTCGCGGGACTGATCGTCGGACGAGACACGGTGCGAGTGTGCGGTGCAAGTCGCGAAGTTCGGCCGGCGTGGCGCGGCGTGTGATCAATTCACTGGTCTCGACGACGAAGACGGCGGCGGCGGCGGCGGCGTTTAAGGTTTTTTTCTTTTTTTTTCTCAAGTGTTTTAACGGCGGAGGAGAGAATAAAATATGTGTGCGCACGGCCGACGCGTTCGGATGACACTGCGATAATATTATTATTTTTGCCGGATTTTCGGAAACCGGCTCGGCGGCGCGGCCCGTCCGACGGTGGGCGGGCGGGCGCGAGGGGTCCGGTGGCCCCGCCTAATTCGTTCCCACCACCGCCGGACTCCCGCAAATGGGGTGGAAGCGTAGGTACGGACGACCGCGGCCGATCGCTGTTGATTGCCGCCGCCGCTGCTGCTGTCGTCGCGTCCGAGTATAATAATAATATTATATTTTTACTATTTTACAACGATGTCAAGTACCTACCTATATAATTTTATTATTAATAATCGTTTTCCGTCACCGTTGATGATGGAATTGGTCGGAATAGAACAAATAATATCGTCGGCCTAATTCGCAAAGGTCGTATGTCCAAAATTACAAATTGTTCAGGAAAAGAAAAAAACGTTTTAAGGCCATATTATTAATTGGGAAATACGACGATTTCTAATTATCAATTTCGTGGAGGATAATATTATGAAATCGGAAATTTGATTGTATCAACAGTTTTTTTTCTTTATTTTATAAGTAAATAATCCCAAAATGACAAAAAATGGAGATACGACTTTTGCGAATTAGGCCGACGATATACCTTTTCAGGGCCCGGCGGTTTGGACGGTATTTTAAAAATTAGCATTTATGGCCTCAAAGCCGTGTGCGTATTCATCTAATTATTCATTACTGCACAATACGCTCCTCGTCAGAATTTTTTCGTCTGATGTCATATCATTGCTCTGCAGCAGCCCGCAGGTGTGTATTACATCGATGACGACCGTGTTTGACATATATATTATAAGTACGAGGATCGGAAGATACACCGCTAACGGGGTGGATATTAAAGTAGTTCGGTACTTGGCCACTTAGGTGTGACTGTGACAACTTACAGTGTACATATACTTGGGTGGTTTTACGAAGAAAATCTACCTGCAGGTTACTGCAGAAACGCACTTGGAAATTAACATTAATTATCGTCAATCGCCGCATTGAACTCCCCATATTTTATATAATGTTTCTTTATTACATATTGTGTTGAATTAAAATAATACAAGTCAACGGTTTCAACATTTTTTAATCATAAGCATCGTAACTATGTGTATGCCTATAGTATAGTTTACAGTAAAGTTTTCAAAGTATATTATATTATAAACGTGTTGGCCTGTATCACTTGTGCCTTATGGTCATGTCCACTCGGCACTATATACACGCTATACATATACATTATTAATTGTTATGATACGGATAACAATGAGATGAAATTTGTTTTTTTTGTAATTCTGAAATATTATAGGAAAGGATTTTGGAAAGATACGTCTCGTTGTAATATTATGAATTTCAGTAGTTGTGTAAAATTGATAAATTTAATTTGTAGTTCGATATTTGACGTTGATGAACATACTTAGCCACTTAGGCACAAAACACAAGGCATATAGCTTTTTAGAGTAAACACTCATATTTTTGTTTTCTTAATTTGCACTTAAAAATGCCTAATAGTGATTTAATGTTATGTGCCATTAAATAAAATAATTATTATGATGCGGTTATTTAGAGCGATTGGTATATTAACAGGTAATTTTAAGCACAATTATTATTGGTAAACTCCTGTTTTCTCATTCAAGCATCATCAGACAGCCAAACCAGGTGTTTATATTATAATACTTTACTGCGAATTACAAGTTTTATATTATAATAATAAATAAAAACGTATAATATAGTAAGTATACATTCGTATATATAATATTATATGTAGGACGTAGGTAGGTAATAAATTAATAACATGATTATAATTATTTTATATCCGTCATCCATGAATATTAGATTGTTGTCGAAATAAAAAATACTCGCGTATTCGTTGTGCAAAGATTTTTTTCCCTTTTTGTCTTATTTGATACTATGCAAACAATTCTTAAATCGATAAGAAATATGCAGACGTGGGTTCTATAACCGGGATCAGACATAATCATTTTTTGATAAAGTATATTAATTATTATGATCTATATCTTGCACCGAGACGAGCGAAGCAAAACGAGTACTGATTGCTAGTTACTTGGTCTCAATATCGTGTTCGGCTTTTTATAGTAGTTATTGGTTATACTTTCTATTCAAACATTTGCTTACTTTGTATAATGTATGGGTATATCGTATACGTGTCGTATTTACAGGGTGGTTACGATTTACGACGAGCATTAATGTTCCTGTTTTAGTCTGATATATCGGATATAGAATATATATATATATTGTATATTTATATTCTATCGTACAGTATATTATATTATGTATTATTATTATATATACACAATACAACAGTTTAAAATTTAAATTACCAACCATATTACTGTCAAATTAAAGTATAAAACACCATTCTCTTGGCTACAACAATAGGTAACCTAACTAAATAACTACAACTGTTGGACGTCTATTTTATAGTATAGGTAGTTAATTTATCGCTCTATATGAGCCAAACCAATAGAAAAATATAACAGAACTAAATTACTGTATCGTATTATGGTAGATAATAGCGAGTTTTGGCGTACCCTGCAGAACGTAAAGAAGAATTTTGTGAAAAACACCATTATTAAGTAACAATAATGAGTGTCTCCAACATTAATTTATTGGGTACCCTAGTACCTTTGATAACTTTATACGAAAAAAAGAAATCGAAAACGCATCTGAATAAGACGTGTCGTCTGGAAACGGCCGGAAACGACCTGTAATAGAAAGTGAGCGCATTGTTTAATTCGGCCAAACACATTAGACGTCTGAATTTATTGATATATAAATACTCTTTGAGGAAATGATTCCTTTTTATTATATCTACAATAGATACTTGATATTATGTATATTGTACCTAACTAACTCATATGGAACTCGTAGTTGACTACAACCGGAAACGTTAACAGCTGTACAGTACACCTAGCTATATTATACTATTGTAATGTGGCTTACTGGCATAATATATAATATATAGTAGAATAATAGTAAGCATAGGCATAGAATTATATATTGTACAAAATTATAGTTCTATGGAAAGTTACTGTAACGATACAACATTGAGCTTCGTCTACGTGCAACCTGGAGGATATCCTGAATCGATTTAAAAGACACCGTTTGTTTTCGGTAAATTTATAATAATGTGATGATAACTATTATTTGTTAGTGATTACAAATTACAATAATTATTTATGGACTATATAACTGACGGGTACTTAGCTTATAATATTATGGTTAATCGTAATTTATAACCAAAATAACAATAATTATAGGTAATTTAAAATGTCCCAGATTATGTAATATAATACAGTTAACAACAACAAAAGATAAAATATGACTGTTGAATTTAAAAATACAATTAAATTCAATAAATACTTTTTTATGGTTTTTTTTTGTATTCAATTATTTCGGTGTATAAATTAAAAAGAATAATATTTTCTTAAGACATTTATATAGCTGTTGCTTGTTACCTACTAATATTCTGTCAGTATTTAATAAATATTCTGTGCAGACGAATATACATCGTTCGTAATACATTTTTTAGTTTCGCTATAAACGTATTATACTTTGCTATTTATCAATGTCCAAATGCTTGGATATGGGTTAAAAAAAACCCCGATTCGCTATTATATTTTGTTACACAATTAAGTCAAAACGCAGAATTTTGCCAACAATAGGGATATATAACTGTAAATCGTAATGGTTATTCCTATTATTGGTTTTATTTTTTCGCCAACGACGTTTTATACGAAATACCTAATCCCTATGGTTCATTACCCAACCATCTCCGCAGGAAGTAAGTGAAAACTCGAGGAAAGAACTGGGTAAAAAAAAAGGTCGTCGATGCCAATTTCATATATGACCGTGTTTACGAAAGAATATAAATCGAGAGACCACACAACGCACCACAAGAAGAGTCATCGTTGCATTGTGTTAATAATAAAAAAAAAAATGATCTCTCTTTTCGCCGTGTAAAAAGGAAACAAACACACACACACGATAAGGTTCGTTTTTATAGACATGACAACGGGTGTTGGGCGTTTGCGTCGTAATAATAATATCGGTAACGTTGTGTAAACAATATTATATAGGTACCTGCACACCAGCTCATATTATATGGTTTCGTAAAAATATATAACCATTATACTATAAATGGGTCTAAAGTTCTTGATTATTTTTTTTTTTACAAATTTCGTGTTCCTGGTATTAATATTTTTGTACGTGTTCAGTAGTATAAATTACTGTTTACTGGTGTAATATTATATTATATTGATTCAAATCGGAGAATAACAAAAAAACATTTTAATTACGTGCCTAACCCAAGACAATTGCGATATAAACCATTATCATGTACAATATACGTGTACATTACGTATTATTTTATGTTGTAGAGTACTAGAGTGCATGCTATACTAAATAAATAAATTATATTAATATGCATTATTATGTTATTCACTGCTTTAAATGACTACCTACGCAATAACAATGTTATACATAAAATAAATATTACAACAGAACTTAGAAGTGTACGTCTACGCATATAAAACGTT